GAACGAGCAGGAATAGATTAATTATCCTCTTCAGGTCAAAAACAGGTTCAATTTTATGAGTATGTTCCTTTGAGGTTCTTATTTCTGCCCCTTCTTGGGATTTAGAATAAACTCCTTATACGTACCTCTAAACTAGTTTATATAAGGAATTTATATGTACTAATTCTACTAATTCAAAATTAAAATTAGGCATTGATTGAAGGATTGAGCACAGTTTTAAGGAAATCTCAGCATGGAACAGAGTAGAAACAGGATTCCTGCTTGCAACCCACACTTCACATGATCATTTGTGATCTCCGGCTACACCAGGCACCAACTTTTTTCCTACTACGTAACCCTCACAGCACCAGAAGGATGGCATGCATTCAGGAGACAGCCAGAATGCAGCTGGAGGGATTTATGAAAATTTTTAATGAAAATATTTAAACCTCTAGTCACCTTGATTCTGAAGCAGTGTCCTGTCTAGTACAACAGGAAAACAAGGAATGATATTAGCACAAAGAAAGAGACATATGTTCAAAATCAGGACTTAGAATAAAAAAGCATTCCCATAAGTCAACAAAGCATAAATAAGATTATTCCAATAATGAACCAAAATGAGTGCTTATACTATTTTTGTCAGTGAACACGAGAGAACCACAGAGGATCAAAACTGTATAACAGAATACTTCGTCAGCAAAGATCTTAGTTTCTCACTGAAAAGTTTTATAAGTAAATAAAAGCAATGACTACCATTTTACTTTTGACAAATAAACTTCAATATTAATCATTTTTTTAATTATAGGCCTAAAAGCTGAGAAGCCAAAATAAGGAGTGACAAGATGCCTGTTGATAGAAAGGACACATTACATTCGATAAATGGATATTATATAAATATACTGTATTATCATAGGCAATGCTAGTTTAGCTACTAAACAATGAGATAACATTAAATTTAAAAAATGATTAGAAGTAACGTAAACATACACTTATTCCCTTTCCTTTATCATTTTAATGCTGTGCAAATGACCCTACTAACCAACAAACCATGATATTAAAAATATCTTGGCTCCTTTCTCTCAGCCTGCTTAAAAACAGTAACCCAGCATGTTTTTAATAATTCAGGATAGTGGTCCTAGAGAAGGATGTCTAATCTGAATTTCAAATTTCAAATTAATATGCCTTTTAAAAATAGTATCTGGCCCTGACTGGTGTAGCTCAGTGGACCTAGTGCCAGCCTTCGAACCAAAGGGTCACCGGTTCGAGTCCCAGTCAGGGCATATGGCTGGGTTGCGGGCCAGGTCCCCAGTAGGGGATATGCAAGAGGCAACCACACATTGATGTTTCTCTCTCTTTCTCCCTCCCTTCCCCTATCTCTTAAAATAAATAAATAAAATCTTTTTTAAAGTAGTATCTGCTGGCTTATATGCTAACCCACCCTACACCTTACTTGACTATGCATACATAGAGACCTGTTCCACAAAACCAGTAAAACATAAGGTGCCCTAGTGAAAAGAAAACTATAACCCATCATATTAGGAACCTCCTCCCCTCAGTATTCTGAGCAGTTCCAGATATCACGGTAATTGTGTAAGTACGATGTTCTCTCTGAAAGTAGTGATAATCAGAGATACAGAGTTCAGAAATCACTGGATTAAAACCATGCTCTTGAATATCCTTCTTAGAAAATACACACTAAAGTATTTAGAGTAAGGACACATGATGTATGCAACTTATTCATAAATGGCTTAGAATTTTAAAAAGCACATATATGCACATATAGCATGTATACATTCATGTGTAGACAGGCAGAGAGAATGATAAAGCAACTGAGGCACATGTTAAACACAGATGAATCTGGGGGAAGAGTTAGCAGCTGTTCTCCATAACATGTTTGCAGCTTTCCTGTAAATTTGAAATGATTTCCAAATACAAATTTGAAAAGCACTCTCTTCAAAATTGTAACTAGTAAATTTATGTCTAAATGACTTACTTGTTGAAATACACCTATTAAGCGTTCATTTTGCCCAACAATTTGATTACTGTGCAGACAGTCATCAATAACGCACAGGAATATACGCAACCACGGCCACGAACAGTGCTACCCAGGGCAGGACTCTTTAGAAGCCAAAGAGCTAGAAATTACCCCCATGTCCATCATCAAAAGAATGGATACGCTGTGACATGTCACAGAGAATACCGTACTGCAACATAAATGAGTAGACTGAAGAGCATATAAAAATAGAAATAAATCTCACAAAGTAATGTCCAGTGAAAAAAAGCCATGTATGAAAGAATTCATACTGTATCATGCCATTTACATAATGTTTTGAACGGTATTTAAGCTATGGTGTTAAAGATCAGGACAGGGGTCCTGCCTGGGTGGGAGCATGACAGCAACCACAGGGCTGCCGGTGGCGTCACGCCCGGGGACAGGGTGGCGGTGACGTGGCGTGTTCACTCTGATGGGCTGTATTGTATGGGTGGTTTTAATAAAACATATTTTTAATGAAAAAAATGTTAAGTGTCATTGTAGTCTATTGATTCTATGCTGTCAAATTATTAAAAAACATACAAAAGTATCCAAAAAAGTGCTTTCTGAATTTCTTAGAGCCAAGAAAACATTAAAAAGTAATACAAAAAAAAATAGTGAAATTGTTAATGCTCCTACAAATGTAAAAGTTCTCCTCAGGTTTAAATATAGCACTCCCAAGAAGGCAACAAGAATGCGAAACTTTTCAATGCCAAGTGAACATATACAGTTGCCCTCTGGACTTCAATAGCCTTCTACAGAATGAGATATAATGGGCCACGGGGAAGCTGGGAGAAAGAACAACACACACAGCTCAGCAGAAGGTGAACTGAAGATGAACATATAACTTTATATTAAGCACTATAAATAATCCTTAAAAAGTCACTCATTTTGAACTCTGCATGCTATCACAGATCACCTGTGACCTTCTTAATGGCTAGTCCTAATTGTCACTTTTAGGCCTGGTTTTGTTTCCGAGAAGGAAACTGTGATTTTCCAGATGCTCATTTTAACTAACATAACAATCAATAAACTGCAAATAGAGTTCACCAAAAGTGTTGTGCTCTTACTAACAGGTGGTACTATAGAAATAAGGCAAACTGACATTTTTATGTGTGTGCATTCAGTTCTCTAAACTCATTGCATCTTCTATATATATTATACTATTTTTTGTGGCTAACTTCCTTTAAAATTTCTTCCATAAGGCTGTCCCTTAAAAAGCCTTTTAAAATCAATTCTTCATCAATTTTCTTCACTAGAAATTCAGTTTAAACACGACTGTACTAAATGAGAGAAAAGTTCAGATTCGAAAGTTCATTAATCCAATATTAATAATCTTTGTTGGAGTGAAAAATACTGGCACACAGACAAAGTATACTCAGAGATAATTCAAGAAATACTCTAATTCAACTAGTTAGGGAAGGTTACCTAGTTATATGTTAACTTTGGGGATTTCCTAAGTCTAAAGAAAAGAGGCCAAAAAAACATAAAAGATTTTAGTGGCACACAGGCTAATCGATAGCATGTATTCTTCTCTTTGATTGCAAGAATTGCTAATTATCAAACTACTCAAAACAACCCAAATGTCCATCATCAAGAGACTAGATAAAGTGTGATGTGTTAATTGAACATCATACAGCACCTCGGATGGTGTAGCTCAGCTGGTTGGAGTGCTGTCTTGTAAACTGAAAGGTCACAGGTTCAATTCCCAGTCAGGGCACATGCCTGGGTTTCAGTTTGGTCTCTGGTCAGAGTGCGTGAGAAAGGCAACCAATCTATGTTTCTCCCTCACATCAATGTTTCTTCCTCCCCTCTCTCTCTAAAAATCAAAAAGTATGTCCTCAAGTGAGGATTAAAAAAATGAATACTGTATAGCAATAAATATAAAGGAGTCAAGCCATGCATAAAGAAAGAAGTGAGCCCTGGCCGGAGTGGCTCAGTTGGTCGGGGCACCAACATGTAAACCAAAAAGCTGCAGGTTCGATTCCCAGTCAGGGAACATGCCTAGGTTGCCAGTTCGGTCCCTGGTCGGGGGCACATAGGAGAGGCAACCAATTGATGTTTCTCTCTGACATCGATGTTTCTCTCCACCCTTCTCACTCCCTTCCCTTCTCTTAAAATCAGTAAGCATGCTGTCAGATGAAGACTTAAAAAAAGAAAAAACAGGCACAAACCTCATAAACTTCTAAGCCAACAACCATCTCTTTAGAAAAATTCCCAACTTAGCCTTCCTCTTTCCAAAGGTGGAAAACAATCCCCTAAGAATTTTAATGATCAATAAGAATTCACAATTTCAATTTTTTAAAAAAGGCAGTTTCACAGAATCACTACATCTAATTTGGCTCTAAGAGCAAAGAACAAGACTTAAGGGGCGATACATTTCAGTACTGGGACCCAAAACAAAGACTCAAATGTCTACAAAACTCAAGAGATCTCTCATGCTCGCTGAAGGCTGTTGCTGTCACCATGACCCTGCTGCACCCATTATGTGACATTCGTGAGACTCAGAGAAGTCGCTCTGTGTCACTGAAAAAAACAAAGAAATGCCTAGGAAATATTCCACAGACGTAAAAATACAAATATATCCACCCCTTCAGTACATATGTTTGAATCAGCGGCTGCTGGGCTGCAGAAGACACACCCAGAGAGGCTGAGAAGAAAGGCATGGTCAGGGGAGGTTGGCTTAGTACGTGTTGGCACCGGGGCTTGTTCCCAACAAAAGCAAAGCTTAGACTATGGAGCCAGGAAACACATAAATGGTATGAAAATAACAATAATTTTAAAAGCAAGATTATCATGTACTCAGAAAGCTCATTTTAAAAGTTTTCTTAACGTTAAGTGGAATGAAACCCAAAACATTAGAAACAAATTAGAACAAGCACAGCAGAAGGATGCATAAATGTCACTCCAAAATTAGCCACTTTTTAGTAACATAGCAGTATATCACTGTGGAAGATTGTGCTTTGCAAACAGAGGACACTGATCTCACCTGATTTCATTTTCATACTGTGGGGACAGTCTACCTGAATTCTGGTAAAAGCTTTTCAGGAAAGAGGGGGCAGTGAAGGAAGGGGCAGAGAAGGAAGTGTGCAGACTCGGAAGGCTGGAGGAAGAGTTACTCTCCTTGTGCATGCGCCGAGCAGATGGAAGAATGCTGAGTACAGAAAACACAGCAGATTTGTCTCAATTTATAGTTTGGCAAAATCTTCGATCACTATGAAACAGCACATAAACAGGTTCTTATTATTAATTTAAGCTTTCCTTTAAAGACTCAGGGCTGGATCTTAAATGGGGAGGGAGGAGCATGCAGTTCTCCCCACTTAAAGGGATGACCTTGTTTCACCCTCTCACAAATCGAATTCCTCCTCGGCCATGCAGGACGTGATCGTCTCTAAAAATCTCTTAACAAATCTAAGACAAAAAGTGTTTGTTTTTACATGCAAAAGATACTTCAAGGGGGAAAAAAATAGGAAAGCACAAATAATTACAGGAAACAAGATCCAAATGGAAAAACTGATTATGAGTAGTTCAAAGACTTAACTATTTGAAGGACATAAACCATTCTAAAAATTGAAGAACAAGATGTTCAGTTGTTGGACGTCATCCTAGTGCCTTCACCTAACGAACATCAAGGTCCAGCAGAACTGTGCAGCCACGGGTTTATCGGAATCCCTAATCTCCAGCACAGCTCTTTGTATTTCTAGAAGATTCTTTCCCAGAAAGTTTTTACAATGACACAAATAGCATCTTTTTATATTAATAGTAATTATTTGAGCTTACACATGATAAAAAGTAGAAAGCATAAGGAAGACTAGAGACATCATTTATGGTTAAAAAATATTTTAAATTCTTACAAATAATTTTTCCTGGGAGGGAGGGAAATAAAGAGATTTACTGATTTGATAAATATAAAGTGACTATTAAAAAATCTTGATTCACACATGAATACTTAATATTCTTCATTAAAAAAATCTGAGGATAATTAATTCTGTTAATTTACTCTATTTTTTATAAAATAGAGTAGAATGTCCTGAATATCTTATTTTTGGTGTGTGAATCATTCAAAACATAAGGAGAATAAAATTGTATCCTTAAAAGAAATGCTGGTAAATTTGACAACAATATAAAAATCTCTTTTTACTTAGAGTTCTGGTTTGTTTGTTTTTCTTTTCTCCAACTGAGATCCCTATCACACCATTTCCTGTATCAAACTCATAGGAAAAGAAGAAAAACAAAATTAGTCCTAGAATATAAATTCTGATTTGTGCTGCGCAGTAAGAAGTATAAAAATTCTACTATTCCAGATTTACCTCCTTTATCATTTCTTATTAAGTGCCAACAACTTTGTGGAGTTATATTTTAAACACCATGTAAGAGAATTCCTAGTGGCTACCTCCTGTCAATTATGTTCTATGTATTCCTTAGAGATATCAGGTTATTCTAGATACAATATTTAACAATTTTCTTATTGGGCTTTAATTTATTATGAGATGACACACGGCCAAGTTTTGCCTCCTGCATGAGGGTGGCTGAGGCGATGGTTTGAACCCTGGCACTGCACTGGGGGCTGACAGGAAGTGCCGCTGCTGCTGTTTGCACATCTGCTGACTCTGCTTCGTGAGGCAGTCACCCAGAAGGCACTGATGACATGTGCTGTCAGCAGGTTTTTCAGGCAAAGCCACATCTATAATATCTTGTTTTCTCTCTTTTTCTGGAAAAAAATGTTTCCATCCAGAATGCTTTAACTCAGCTCTTGGGTCGTGGCTTAAAGCTTGCCTTGTGTCCCTCACTAAGGTTTTTACAATTCAATTTATTTTATGGTCTTTCGAAAAACTAACTGTTGGCTGCAGCATGAAGGCACCACAAATCTTGACTCCACAGTGATCAAAACAGGTTGGAAGAAGAACTTTCTTTCGCATTCCGGACAGAGGTTTGGACTCACCTGCACTGTTCGCTGGAGCTCTGCCTCAGGAATGGGGAGCGGACCCCGGGACCCCGCCCATCCTGTAAATTCAGCTTTCTCTTGGTGCTCGAAGGTGGGTGGCTGAACGTGTGCGCCCGTCTTCGAAACTGGGGGGAGTCGGAATCCTCTTCAGGGAAGGTCTGCCAGGCTGAGGACAGTGGGGAGGCTGGGGGGGTCCCTGGTGGGGAGTCGCCTGGTGAGTAGTCCTGAAAGGCAAGCAGAAGGGAGGTCTTTCCTTCCTATGTGGACCATGGCAGACCCGCTTCAACACGGAGCTCAGAGTGGCGGGGTGCCTCTTCTTCCTCCTGAGTCATGACAAAACTGGTCTTTTTTTCTCTCTTTTACTCAATCCATGCTGAAGGCTAAGCAGCATCACCACAACCCCTTTCTCCTGATAAGCAGCTGTCAGACAGCATCCGCCGAGATAGGCGAGAAAGTGAAAGGATGATAAGAAAAGGTATTCTCTTCCCTAACCCTTGGTGGTCAAAGGCTGTAGCTACTGTAGGCTTCTCACTGTTGCCCGAAAGATGAAAAGACAGCGGGGCCCAAAGAGGGTGGAGTCTGCGTTTACGTATCTCCTGATTTCCGTGACATATCGGCTGCACGCTTCCTGTACTGTCCAAAGAATATCACAATGTGTCAGTGGCCACGTCTGGTGGCAAAGCCTCCAGGAAAACAGAATAAAGGCCGTTAAGTATCTTCCTTCATGATGGATGTTTCTATCCAACTACATGTTCCCTGATGTAACATTTTTTAAGAGGCATGAAAAACAGGAAATAAATGAAAAGTGGCTGATGCTGGAATGCATCTCATATTGCATGCACAGACCTCATAAATCTTCCCATTGAGAAAGGTATGCTGTTTTATACTTTACAGAACAAGAACCCCTGCAGAAATGCTCAGCTTAATAAACATGGGTTAGGACTAAAAAGACTCACAGCTGAACTAAGTGTCCCATTTTATCAACAGAAAGGTTAATAAAAATATTTTAATATTTTTCCATTAAAAAAGCAGGCTGCATATGCCTCAGCTTACATGTTGCATGATACAGGAAACAGGAAACCAAACCTACAGAGAATTGTCTATGAGATAAAGAGCTTAATGTTGCAGTTAAAATGGTTAAAAATGGTTGGGGGATACACATGGGGAGAAAGCAAAAGACAAAAACATCACTGTACAAGTGCAGTGATTACATGGCTTTGGAGCGACATTGTTCTATGGCTTTGGAGCAACAGTTGTTCAAATGCTGTCCTCCAAATTACACTAAGTCCAAATAGTAAACAGCACGACAGAGCAGAGTTAGACTGCAAAGGATGAGTTCTGCCTCGCCATGAGAAAGCTTCAGCGGAATAAAGAGCACCACACTGCCCCGGCTGGTGTGGCTCAGTCAGCTGGAGGTTGTCCCGTAAGCCAGAAGGCTGCCAGTTCAAACCCCGGTCAGGGCGCATGCCTGGGTTTTGGGTTCACTGATCAATGTGTTTCTCCCCCTCTCTCTAAAATCAATAAGTATGTCATCAGGTGAGGATAAAAATAAAAAATAAAATAAAGGAACATGCTCCTATCCAGAATCTTCTTATCTTAAATAATAAGGCCTCAAATATTTATTTCCTAAAAAATCATAAATGACTCAGAACAAAATAACTAAGCACGCAAATTACCATATCGGTGCTAGTTTGTGCCAAGTCCCATTTAGGATGAAAAAAGGCAGCTCTGATTAGATACCTTCTCCGAAGCCAGGCTGTTGGCCCGTTCGAAGCTGTCCATGCTTCCAAGCCGGCCTCTCATTCTGTTAGCTCCCTGAACGAAAAGAATAAAATTATATCAGCCATATGGTCTGAATTTTTACTTCAAAACTACTATAAGCCCTGGCTGGCGTAGCTCAGTGGATTGAGCGCGGGCTGGGAACCAAAGTGCCCCAGGTTCGATTCCCAGCCAGGGTACATTCCTGGGTTGCAGGCCATAACCCCCAGCAACCGCACATTGATGTTTCTCTCTCTATCTCCCTCCCTTCCCTCTCTAAAAAATAAATAAATAAAATATTAAAAAAAAACTACTATAAAAAGCAGTTGCTTCTTTATGTCATCACTCAATTGATCCTTTTTGCGGTTCACTCAATGTTCTTGGTAGTATTGACAGCCATTCTGGCACAGGAAACAGAACTATTCACAATCTATGTTCATTATTTCTAACTCAAACATTAGATAACTAGATACTCAGGCCAAGCTTTTTTGATGTTTTTTTTTGTTGTTGTTACGAGGTTAAACATCATTCATCCATACCATCAGATTCCCGCAACATCAGTGAGAGCCCTGGTACCTCTGCATGCCATGTACATGAACACAAATGTACAAGGTGCAGACAACTCATCACAACATGGTTCGATATACACAACCTCCCTGCAATCCAGATTGCAAACATCGTGACGCACAATTTTAATACTCCTTTCTCGCTAAGAAGACTAAATAACAGTCCACTTCAATATTGATGAATTGGATTTTATTTTTGTTTTCACATAGTCCTTCAGTGTGGATTTCATAGATGATATAAGAAAGAAAAACCAAAGAGATCATTGGATAAACAGCATGGGGCAGGTTTACAGTTGTGAGCACATGAAACAGTTTATGCTTATTATTACTTATTTGTGACTGTGTTATTTCCCATATGAACAACTGTTAACCTACTGTTGCCCCAGGCTGTATTGCCCTCACATTATATAGGAAGAAACCGAAGCCAGTTTCTGAAGGAAAGAGAAGGGAAAGGTAGGCTGGGAACCACATCCCAGAGAAGGTCTTGAGACAAAGCGCCGACTGAGGAAGGTTCTGTGTAACTCTAAAACACACGGACATGCCCGAAAGAGAGTAGCTGCAAATACAGGTCAGCGGGACCGTGACTCTGCAAATTAAAAAAATGCACAACTCCTGTGCAGCAGTTTACAGTTTTCACGTTTGTGGCCAGTCTTGGGTTTAATTTTTTGAGGGAAGGGAGTTCAACTGCATTTTAATTTTTAATCAAAGTGATACCTGTGCAATATTTCAAAAGCCAAACTGTGCTACCAAGCTCAAAACGAAAGGTGACAGTCACCGCCCGCCCCCTCTCTCACACGCTGAATGCATCCCCCAAAAGCAAACACCTGAAAGTTCGTTTTGATGCCTCTGGTATTCAGCTTGTATTACCACTCCTTATTCTTTCCACTCCAGGCACTATTTACTCACTTCCCACTTTGGAAGATGAGGCATTAGTATTCTTCCTTCATTCCCCACCCCTATGCACACGCTTTTTCTCTTCTCTCAATACAGTTATGTCACAAACTTCAGTTAAAACAATAATTTGTGATTAGATGATTATGACTTCGTAAATAGTATTTACACCTGAGCTATATATTTGACTATTACTACAACTCGTAACTTGTACAATTTGTTCTTCAAAGAGTTAACATCCACTTCAGAAATTACTAATGTATTGTAAAAGTCTCCAACAGATCTCCAAATGGTCAAACATCTGATAACCCATCAATTACAATTTTCTTCTTTTTCTTTGAGCTACCTGTTATGAAGGCCTCTGCCCTCCTGCCCGAGTCTGGCCTGGTAGCAGTTTAGGCTTGCTGAGCAGATCTTCCCAGGATGTTCCTTCACTGCTAACCTAGAAATATCCTTTAACACTCCCCTGTGTTGGCATTTCTGTTTCCTTGATCCCATGTCTTCCTCTTTTTTAGTTACTTCTGCATTTCGGTGGAGCACAGAATCCAAAGGCTTTGTGAGAAAGGGAGGCTGGAAACTAATCTTTTTTTAATTTACCTATCTGTCAATGTCATTATTCTATCCTTCAATGTCATTAAAAGTTTGGATGAATATGTCATTTTGGTTAGAAACTGTCTTTCAGCATGTTGGTATTGCTCAAGTGTCCCTGGCATTGAAGTCTAATGCCACTGAGATTCCTGAGCCTTTGTGTGACCTGCTATTTCTCTCCGGAATGGATTCTAAGTTTACCCTTGGCATTCAGAAATGTCACAATTGTGTGCCTGGGCACGGCTTCATTCAGTCGCTCTATTGCACATATTCTGAGCACATTAAACTTGGAAACATATCTATTAGTTCTGAGAAACTGCTAAAATGATTTCTTTGAAAATTTCTGCATTCATTTGCTGTTTCTGGAACTCCTATCATTTGGCTTTTTGGAACTTCAGGTTAATCCTTTAACTTTTTACCCTGTTCTCCTATTTTCCATTTCTTTATCATTTTGCTTTTTTTTGAAGATTTCTTTTAACTCTAGCTTCCTAGCCTTCTATTGAGCTTTTCTTGTTTATGTCTACCATCAGAAAGTTTTTAAAAGTTCTTTGTAGTTCTCAATTGACTGTTTCCTATTTATGGTATCCTATCTTGTTTCATAGAAGCAATATTATTTGTGTATATTAATTAGAGTTTCACATCTTTAGTAGGTCTCTAAATAACAATTATGACCCTGGCTGGTGTAGCTCAGTGGATTGAGTACTGGCCTGAGAACCAAAGGGTCGCTGGTTCAATTCCCAGTCAGGGCACATGCCTGAGTCGCGTGCCAGGTCCCCAGTGTTGGGTGCTTGAGAGACAACCACACACTGATATTTCTCTCCCTCTCTCCCTCCCTTCCCCTCTCTAAAAATAAAATCTTAAAAAAAGAAACTAATTATGTAAACAATAAAATTAAGAGCTACATCTATTATTACAGAATGCTTACCATGTGCTGTGTACTACAGTAAGCATTTTACACTGCATTATCTCACTTATTCCTCACAAAGATTCTATCAGGTGGGTGTAAATTTTAGCTGAATTTTACAGATAAAGAGATGAAGTTCTGGTATGATCACGTCCCCGAGGTTTACACAGCTAGTTAAAGGACAGAGCAGCGATTTGAACCCGGGAAGTACAATTCAGAAGTGAAGCCTTGAGCTCTTACCCAATACTCCCTCCTGCAGACGGAGCTTTGTGAAAAGCAGAATTACAAATAAAACTAAGCGGCCTGCACTGGTAAAGTGTAGGTTTTGCAAATGATCAGACTCTGATCGAGGTTATTTCAATTCTGCAGTTCTACACTATAACATGACACACTTCCAGTAATAAACTAGGATTGATTGACAGATTATTGGGTTAGTGTGTGTGGCCAAGAGGTAAATATTGTAAAGACCAAGTTGCTTTCTGCTATTTTTTTTAGCTGCTACTTACATGCCGACTTGCCTGGTTATTACTTAAACAGGCTGTTTAGTCGCAGTGGTAAAAGTAGTCAGATGGGCATCAAACCACGGGCATTACTACAACAGCAATTTAAATCACACATTTTACTCACAGTGGTGTTTTATCCATGTTTTGTGTGTATGTGTACACGAAGAAAACCAAACTTATTTTAATTAATTATTCACACATTTTCAACAAGTAAGAACAATGGATATCACTCTGAAGAAAACATGAAATTACTATTTTCCAATGACTCACACTGTATTTTATATTCCTTCTTCAGAAATGTGCATATTAATGAATGCACTCATAACCATTTCCCTTTTGGAAAACTTCAACTGAAGACCAAGCCACAAACCCCCAGAACACAAGGCTGTCTTCTCGCCTTCACACAGGCAGCTCCTTCAGTTTCACCGTATCACCATTTGGCAACACACGCGTCAGGCCTTTCCCTTGGACCCACTTTTTAATTGCCAGTGAGCTGAGCTACTGGGCTATTTAAAAATGGATCCTATTTCATCAACAGCTATAGTTAGGTAAATAAAATATTTTGATATTTAAAAATGACAGCAATTGTGAGCCAATCTTTATGACTGAGGTGCCAATATTCTACTTTTTACCCAGGAAGGAAAAAAAAAAAATACCGGTGAGTTTTAGAAGCACACCGCACGCCTCCCCTATGGAACCTTTGATACGACATGGCTGGCTGCCAACCTCCCCAGTACGTCCATTCTGCTGCACGTGGTGCCCGCAAGACTTTGTCAGGTCACATCATTTATGACACTCGGCAGCATCTGTGACACGAAAGCTACAGCAGCCACCTGGACCAAAATACATGGGCCGTGCTCTCGCGTAAAGTGTCATCACCGCCATTCACCGCTGCGTGCGCGGCACTTCAAAGCCAGCGGCGCGGTATCGTGCAGAAAGGCAAGGTGCCGAGTGGGGAACAGGAGAATCACTCGGCCAACGAGGAGGCTTCAGAGCTCTCACGGTCCGTACCACCTCACGTCTCTACTGTGACACTTTCCTGATAAACTGACATTTCATTCCACAGCAATGAGAAGCCAGCAGGTATTAGAAGGCCTGCCTCACAAGTGGGGAAACTATGGCTTAGAGAAGGCAAAGAAAGAATCTGCCCCAAATCAGAAACGTAAACTCCACGAGGGCCGGGTCCGGAATTCAGGTCCCACGACCATGCATTCCAAGGGAGTCTCACTAAAGCACCACAGGAGAGAGGGACAGAGGGGAAGGGGGGGGAGGAGGGAGGGAAGGAAGGAGGGAGTTAATGGAACTTTTCCATTAACACACTTCTGAATAATCTCCTATATACTTTCTATATTCCGTTCCTGCTGATAAAATAATAGCACCGGCAGCTCACCACGCCTGCTGCAGGGCTGCTGTTAAAATTAGGAGAATCTCAATCGTTAAGAGAAATACCTATAAAAGTATTTTGAGTTCTAGCAAAATAAAATTTAAAAAAACATGAAGAGTGCCCTGTATCAGAAGTTACTATGCCCTCATGCTCTACTGTACTTTCTTGACCCGAACACCTTCAAAGGTAACAGGCCAGTTATTTTGCGCGCTGTAAAAGTAACTGGGGTCGGTTGGTATTTCCTCATGATCGGCTTTAGGGACGGCCCTTTGGCAGGAACCCACAGGCGTGGCACTGTGTTCTTTGCATTGGGTGTCCCACGGCTGATGGTGTTTGGTTTGATTATTTGATTAAGGCAGTGTCTGCCCCCCTTCTCCATTGTGAAGTTACCATCTTCCTCTTTGTAAGTAGTAAGTATTCACTAAATCCAGTCAATATCTGGATCAAACTCTCACTGTATGCATTTTTTTTCATGTCAGAATAGACTCGGGTTTCCTATTTTACGCACCAGGTTATAATCTGTTACCATTTATTTTGATGCTCGTACTGTCTCAGAAAGAGCCAGTGGGAGCCCTTCATGGTTTTTATGTCTTTACGACACAGCAGCGCCTTCCTTCGGGCACTCCTTTACGATCTAGAATTCCAAAGAGGCTCCGGTCTTATTTTCTACTTTCCCTGCAGTCCTGGAACAAGCTATGTTTCCAGGATCCTAGTGCCTCCTATAGAATGATGTACAGAAACCCAAATCTGTGTGCTAGTTGTCACCCAGCAAGGCTTAACTTATTATCGGATATTTGCAGAAAAGCTGGCCCCAGCTCCTATCAGTGGCTAGAGCCAGAGACCATATGTACACATTTACACAAACCCTAACTCAAACACATATACCCACATGTTACTACATAAATTATATGAGTCCTGTCCAGAAAGTATCCAGCCATGTCCTATGTAAAATAAAGCTGTTTATTGAAGAAGATACAAGATACAAGAAACACTGTACATAGGACAAGGATGCCTCAGTCTCCTTCAAAGTAGCTACCTTGGGACCTCACTCACTTCTCCCAGTCGCTATCAGCTGCCCCGTTGTATTTTTGTGAATCTCATCAGTGATCTGAAATCTCTTCCCTTTCAAAGGTGATTTTAGTTTTGAGAAAAGCCAGAAGTCACAGGGGGCCAAATCTGGGCTGTAGGGGGGCTGAGTTACCTGGGTAATTTGATGTTTTGGCAAAAAACTCCACACAAGATGTGATGCATGAGTGAGTGTGTTGTCATGATGAAGCTGCCCATAGCTGCAGCCTTCTGAATCATCTGAATCATCTGAATAGTTTCCATAGAGGAATGTTCAAGCCTAATGCAAAATGTGATGCAGATTTGTTGCTCTACTTGCTCAGTCATTTTAAATATGATAGCCACACAGTACACATGCTCACTCAACAGCATCCACCACCACCACTGACTAGTACAGTGATGTCATCACTGTTCACATATGCACATTCCAGTCCCCTCTCCTTGGCTGCCAGGTTTCATCTATGTCACCCAGACCATTCTCGTTATATTAACAACGGCTGGACTTTTTCCAGACAGAGCCCCATACGTAAAAACGTAAAATTCTATTCCTCAAAAATACAGACAGATAGATTAATAACCAAGATTCCACACTGTGACTTCAGTGCTGAATCCAACAACACAGAATTCATTATAATGTCTTCTCTTTGCATATTTGTAATTTCTTTCTCCTAACATCCCACTACCCTTAACATTTATATATGTGATCAGTCCCTGTGTGTAACCAGTTCCCACAACTGCCACCTCACAGACACGCTCCTCATCCTACACAGGTTCCAACACCCGGCTGAAGCTGCCACGCCACCCCAGACACGGATGCCGTCCTCACCCCACATGGCCTCTGACTCCTGGTATCAGGCACCTCGAGTGCTTTCTCCCCTCCGTCCCTGGCTCAGCAGGGATGGCCCCCTCACCACCTCAGGCTGCGACTTCCTCAACGAGGCTGCCTCCCTACCCCAGCACGCTCCTCACCGCACTCTGGTTTCCGCATGCTGCACTGGGCCACCCCCACACAGCACCCAAATGGCTCTGTCTCCCTGCACTGAGCCATGTGGTTCCCGCCCTCCAGCCCCAGGGCACCCACCTTGCCCGATCTCATCTACAGCATTAGGACTGAGCTGTTCAGGAAGAACAAAATGAAGGGGAAGAGGAATCACCGTGCTTATTTTTAAATAGAATATTTTCTCTTTTCAAATTTACTAAAAGGAATACATAAATTTCTGTTAACGTATACTCGCTGTTTTCAACATTTCTTATCAGCTCCTAAAATGAACAATGAAGGATTTCTTTATAACTTTACGTGCCAAATGATAAAAAAGTTCCTATGGTATTAAGCAACAATATTCTATTTTCCCTTTTCTATATATACATATCTCTATTAATAAATCTCTAGTACTCAAATTCAAATATTATAAGCACTAGAATAAGGCCATATCTGAGAATGAAACTTAGGTTTAGAGAGTATTTTAAATAAGTGTACCTAAATTAAATTATCTTAGTAGTTTCCTTTTAAAGAACTCTTCTGTGAACCAGTTGAGATGAAGCAAAGCAGTTAAAAAATACAGACATTAATGCCCAAGTCTCAATGTCATCTTACCCTTGAGAAGATATTTTCCAGGGAGCTAGTTAAGGATCTCTTAGCTTTATTTTTCAGAATATCAAGTTTGAACCTTCCACTGCTGGTTGCATTTTCTGGGATTGTACTATTTGAAATAGTCTATAGGAAAATAAAACAGACAAATTTTAGTTAGGACAACTCAAGTATACGTCCAGGGTCTGCATGCAACATGGTCACTTTTGGTCACAAAGTAACTACACAGCTTCATGCTCAATGTCCTATGCTTAAAACATACTTCCCCGACTTCTCTGATCAGCAAACTTCATCCCCCTTAAAACTCTAGACCCCCTCCCCCACCAAAATCTTCCTCTTGAATTCTTTAATTCTCTCTTCTACCCTTACTCTCTACTCCAGCTCCAAAGCTAAGGCATAGCTACTTTTTTGCTCACTGCACACTCTCTTAAAAAGCTACTTTGTTGCCTCTCTCATATGTATCCATTTATCTGTCTGCAATCCCTTTTGAAATATTTGAGCCCTTCTCTGGGGGGGAACATTATTCATGCACCACATTTCTGTTCACCATTCCCGCGCAGCCTGGCTCAGAGAAGTTTCTCTAGAAAAGCTTGTTCGGTGAATAAATTAAGAAATCACTAATACAGTGATGTGTGATTTGTCCTGAATAATGTGAAATAAAGACATAATTTGCATTAGTGTTATTAAGAGGTAAATATGTAATCATCTCTTTACATGCTGTTGCTGGTGGTCTTACTTTATGTGTATGCAGCTGGAAACATGGTCTAAGTCACATGCACAAAAATATCATCCCTCAGTTTGCAGCTAGAAGAGCTATTTGCAGGATCCTGCAACTGGTTTGGGTGTTTCTATTTACCATTCAAGACTGTGTAAGATTTTTTTTTAAATAATCACTTGAGGATATATGTATTGTTCTTAGAGAAAGACAGAGAAGAGAGTGCAGTGGGGAGGGAGAGAGAAACATGGACGAGAGAGAGAAATATCAACAGGCTGCCTCCCATACACATCCAGCAGGGGATCGAACCCACCACCTTTTGTGTACAGGATGACAGGATGACACTCCAACCAACAGAGCCACCTAGCCAGGGCAGTGTAAGCTTTTAATAAAATATAATGTCTGGGCCCTGGCTGGTGTAGCTCAGTGGACTGAGTACGGGCTGCGAACCAAAGCATCGCAGGTTCATTTCCCAGTCAGGGCACATGCCTGGGTTGCAGGCCATGACCCCCAGCAACCACACATTGATGCTTCTCTCTCTCTCTCTTTCTCCCTCCCTTCCCTCTCTAAAAATAAATAAATAAAATCTTAAGAAAAAGAAATATAATGTCTGAAGGGGTTCAGAGGAGGCCTCCCCAAGATGTGCTACTTTGGCATGTGGACTATTTTAAGCTGAAGACAATCAAGACCCCGTAGACTCACAAGACACTTTTACTTCTTCTCCCTCAAAGAACTGAAATAGGGGCCTTGCCCATGATGTGAGTTATCACCAGAGATGACTTATGAACTATCTGTGGAGCAGGGAAAACTTCTGATTACAGAACATCTGCTCTTCTTATCTTCTCATCGTCCTGCAAAGCCCGTCCTCCCCCCAGGAGCCCAAGGCACCTAACCTCATCCTCTACCCCAGAATGCCACGCAGACCCCATTTTCCCTTTCTGTGTCCCACCCTCTCCTGTCTGTGGGGTCTCTGACTCCTTCCAGCGTGTGGGGTTCCCATACACACGTATACAACTTAATTTGGTCATCTTCTCTGATTACTCTGTCCCATGTCTCTTTGATTATGAGACCGGACAGAAAAATCCTAGAAGGGTGGAGGAAAGCTTCTTCTTCCTCCACATGTTCATATAAATTTAAAATAAAACCATGGGTGGTTGTTACTAAAAATTCACGTTCATTCTAAACCATCGACATGTTACTAATGTTTTTATGCAAAAAACACAGATTTTTTTTACCTTTTAAAGCCATAATTATTTTATCTCAATATGCCAATTCCTGTGAAAATTTCCCACAAATTTAGTGCTAAAACATAGATGGGCTAGGACTTCAGCCCTGAAGATGAGACCACAAGGGAAAGAAAGTCCTCCCCGACTTCCTGTGATAATGCGACTAAACAGAGGGACACAGCAGGAGCGGGCCAAGGGAAACCTCTCCGCACCGCCGGGCCTTCCCCGATGTGAACGTGGGCCTTCTGCTTGGCTTCGCACAGCTGCCTCAGGTGCAAAATCACAAGTTCGTTCTCCTCCTGGTCGCTCACTGGCTTCATTTTCTGTTGAAAAGACAAAACCGAGAGCACACTACGGCAACACGGCTTCTCCCGTTTTATTTTGTTCCCACTTGGTTTTTGTCTGTCTGGCAAACGCAAATAAAGCTCAGCATTAACTGCCCTTAGATGTAAAAGTAACAATGGCATTCTAGTTACTATCAAATAGTACAACAGGATATATATCGTAACTTCAGATACAGAAGAGGAACTTAGAAAAACAGGATCTGACTCTCATTTCTTACATCTTTTTTTGTGAGACTTTTAGGTAATGTTACCTGGACTCGCTCGAAGATGTCGGCTTGCTCGTTATCTGTCAGTGATGACAGATGCCTCTGAATGACCAGTTTGGCTCTTGGCGGGTAGAGACCTATGGGAAACGATGGGAATACGTATTAAACAGAGTGCGGCTGCAGAAATCATAACGTCAATAACGTATTGCAGCTTATCCCTTGGCCAGCAGGCTCTGAAGTTAAACCTTCTCCAGGAGCTGCGTCCCCGCCTACGGCAAACCTTGGAACACTGCAATGGAATCACTAACGCACGATGGAAAACCTCCGCAGCCAAACCACTGGCCCCGTCAGTGATCCTCAAGTCAGATTCACTAACAACACATTTCTAAGCGATACCGCGCCAACCCCTTAGCCAGGTACCATGAATATAGGAACAATCGAACTAGGTACCATAGAAACGTTTGGTGAATTAACTTATCCCAGTTCCTGATGTGGAAATAAAAGCTAGACGCTAGCCTTGGCCAAAATCTCTAAGAATAAAACCTGACCTTTGAAAAAGAATAAATAATAATGTTAAAAAGCAGAGCTACAGCTTAGACAAGTATCACTTCCTCCTCACACAGGTGCTATTCTGTGGTAATAAAACTTCAAGGACCACATGAAAATTTAATGACATTTTTCATGTTATTATTTTTCCAAGAAATTGTTTAGTTCTTCATGTTATGTTATTTACATGTCTATCACACTGTTACACATAATTTATATGAAAACCTTGCGCAAAAATTCTTTTCCATGAATACATTTTTGATCATATAATTGTTTAAAAAGGGAAAATACAACTCGTATTTAAAGTGATTCCCAATGACCACCTGTTTTTAAAGAATGTGTCTCCTTCACATAGTTACATGCCACTTATCATGCTGCTGCTATACTCTGATTGGAAGGAGGAGGCCTAGCTATAAATACTATTTAGTGAACCTCCTAGGTAACCTAGCACTTTAAAATCACTGACAGAATCACATCGAAATACACAGTTTGAAAAGAACTTGAATTCGTTTCCGGCCGTCGGAAGGTGCACAGTGCCGCCGGGGAAGCTGCTTGAAACCACGTGCACGGTCCACAGTGGGGACCAGCAGGAACCAGCAGGAAGCGAGCGTTTCTGTGCGGTGCGCCACGCAGTCCTGAGGGGAGCTCTGCGGCCACACACGGGGACAGCAGGCACCACGGTTCATTCTGACACGTGCCGACACGCGCTGCCATCGCTTCTGTGCTGGCAAAGTCTCCTGAAGAGGTTCCTTAGGCAACACAGTAAGAACCTCATTCACAAGGTTGTTTTGGCTTTGGCTGTTTACGATTCCAGTGTCTTATTAACATGACTAGGGGGATAAAAGACTTAACAGGGAAGAAGTAGAGAGGCCAGTTAGGTGAAATGTGTAACTAAATCCATAGCCCCAGAAGTTTCTTCAGACCTTTGTTCCAGGACAGACATTGGAAACAGCTGGAGTTTATTTTCAAATTATACAGGCCGGCTCCACTGCTGCGAATCTGATTCGACTCCCTTCTCCCCATTTCAGAGTCGCAGATTAGGGACTCTAAGAGGCAAATGTACTGTTTATCCCTCATGCTTGCGAGTATAGGAAAACAAGACTGAGGATAATGCACCATCTCCACGATGTTCAGCATCACTTTAGTTTCCTATTCTGAAGCTGCCTCCTGGATTCCCGTTGGTCCACGAGCATGGCTGGCCCTCCTCCTCCCGCCTAAATGGTGAGACTTGCCTGACATAGGCCATTAGCATACTTGTCAGTTCACATCAGCATAGGTATCTACTTTCTTTTTGTTTGTTTGTTTGTTTTTTCAATAAAAATAGAACTCATTAACACGGCCAAATGTACTGACAGGATACTATAAAGCTCAGGAAGTGATATGAAATATTATCTGCATGCTACTTATAATTATCTTCCTCACTAAATTTCTGAATCAATCTAAATGTGGTCCTTTTTCCAGCTTTACACTTTGCACCTAAACATGAACAAGCTCAGAATCCATGTTGTTACCTTACTCAGATGAAATAGCTCTGGGAAACACAGAGACGCCCAGGCTTCAAGGCAGCCTGGCCCTGAAAACCCCAGCCTCCTGCTAGACCCTCAGAGAGAAGGCATCAGGTTGCCTTGGAAACAGACTGAACAAGTTCAAATCCTGGTTCTGCTCCTTCCAAGCACTGCGATGTGGCGGTTATTAACCACCTGTGTCTCAGTGCCTCAGTGTCCTCATGAGTAAAATGAGGATAAAAACAGTACCTATCTTTCGGGGTTTCTCCATGGATTGAGTGGGATAACAAACCGAGGCTAGACAGAGTGACTCCTGTTGTTGCTACTTTTATTTCTTCTGCGACAGCACTGCCCCACATTTGCTCTCTTTGCCCAATGTCATGGGCAGCGGAAAAAGAAGGTGTCATCCAAGGCCTTTGGAAAACAGCCTGCGTGAATCTTTTTCGTGGCCACGCATTCCTTGAAGCTAGGGAAGCTTAAGTTTTAGAGTTCCTTCTAGATCTTGGGAGGGGCCCTGCTAATTCTGGATTCTTACTTCACATGCTTTATCTTTGGAAAGGTCTTTAAAACTATAAACGCTTGAGGTGCCACCAAACTGAGGTCCACTCCTATAAATAGGGTCCATCCCACCACTATAGCTTCCCTGTGTGTTACAGCCTGTTTCTGACGGACTATCTATTCATTTGAAAGTTTAAAACTTCTTTTCTGTAACAGAAAATATATTTTAAAACACATCTACAATGTAATTTTTTAAAACAGAGACACAAACTTGCTCCTTTACTACTAACTTTAGCTTTGTCTACATAGACATAATTTATTTTTATGGTGTGAGGTTTGAAAACTAAAAATTCAAAGGGGAAAATATTACTCATCATTATTCTATTAACATTTGGAACATATTTGCTGCCAAATGTGAATATAAAACATACATATATATGTTTTATATTTTATTACCCAAGTAATATACATTCTACATCTTAAAAATATTAGAACATTATAAATAGAGCTAAATTTGCCTTTTATAGAATCAGTGGGCAAGGGGATAAGAGAAAAGAATTTGTGTAGATTCAAACCGTCTTCCCTAAAATATCTGTTAAGTCTGGGAGGAACAATAGTAATTTTACAGTGGAAAATCCCAGAGACCACCCCGACCAGGTGATAAGGTCACCAGACCAGGAATGAAACTTGTCGGCATCGTGAGCCCCACGAGCTGATGTGCTGAGAAGGACGCAGCATGGTCCCACAGTGCCAGGGAGGAGGGACCTCCGTCCAAGTGTGAGAAGACATCGACAGGCCACAGTGAGGGGCATTCAGCAAAATAACTGAGCTGCACTCGTGTGGGAAGGCAAGGCCATAAAAGACACGAAAAGACTGAGGAGGGCTTGCAGACTGCAGGGGACCAGGGCGAAATAACCACGTACAATGTGGGATCCAGACTGAAATCCCGGAACAAAAAGAAAGGACATGAGTGAAAAAAATGGTGAAAATCAAATGAAGTGTTTAGTTGGAATAATAATATTGGACTGATGTTAAGATCCTGTCCTGATCATTGCACTGGACTGCAGAAGATGTTAAAAATGCTGGTGGATGGGGGAGGAATATTCTGAAACCTTCTGCAACTTTAATGTAAGTCTAAAAGTAGACCAAATTTAAAAAAATTTATAAGAAATACGGGACAGGGTATCATTTTATGTATTTCTCTGAATATAGCATCAAGGTATGGGTGTTATTCAGCAAATTATTTTCTTCACAAAATAATGTCATTGTTAGATGTATCCAAGTTCATAAACAGTTAAAATTCACTCCCATTAATTGCTCCATTATATGAACATACTTCAGTTACCCTATTGTGCACATTTAGGTTGTTTCCAATTTTCCATTACTTACAAAGAATACAACCTTGAAGATAAAAATGTCACCTTCTGAACCTAGATAAGAGTTTCCCTTATTAAGACACGGAACTGCTGGTTAGCAGGGCATATGTAGTTTTCGGTTAGTGGGTTTCTATTAGCTGCCCCCAAATGCCGTGCTGACTGCACTCCCATCAGCACCCACCTAAATGCACCCCTGTCTCTGCAGTCTTGCCGGCCGGCCACTAATCCGAAGCGTATCTTGTTGATTTGATTTGCGTGCCTCTAACAGACAGTAATATCGAGCATCTTGTCATTTTTATTATTGGGCCTTTTAATTTCCTTTTCACAGGAGTATATTTTAATATGATTTGCACAATTTCTTACTGGTGGTTTTATCTTTTTCCGACAGCTAATAAGAGTCCTTACAAATTCTGAATACCTACCTGTTATTTCCTCATTTGTCACTTATCATTTCACTTCCAAATAAGCAGTCATTGTCACATAAAGTTTTTTAATTTCTATAAAATCAAATCTGTCAAGGTCTTCTTTTAATAGTTTTGCATTTTTATGTCTTAATATAGACTTGTTTAAGGACAGAGCAATATTCTTATTTTCTTTGAATGATTTTAATAGTCTGTTTACTACACACTAAGGCCTTCGATCCACCTACAGTGAAATGCAGTAGGATGAGTAAAAGGAATTTTTATCTCTTTAAATAGCAAATTGATCCAACACCATTTCTTGAGTAATTCAGCCTTTCCTCCACAGATTTATAATGTTCCCTGTACCATACACCCAAAAAATGTTCCATTTTTGGAAAGGTTATATAATATGTTTGAAAATAATGTGCATTATAATTATAAAATTATAATTACAAATTTTAAAATCTGAATATTACGTGTAAATAGTCCTTGATTACAGAGTTGAATTGATATTCAATAAATACCTGCTATCGTCATCGATTTTGCCACGTGCCTACAGTTCTGCTACCTACTCAAGAGAAGTCACAGTGTACATTTACACAACCGGACCATTCTCCGCTCTGTCCTGGAGTTCGCACTCTCCCCACCTATTGTAACACCTGTGTTGCTGAACTGCACTCACTGGCTCCAGACCTGTCTTCTCTTCTCCACTCTGTCAGCTTTCTGAGGGCAAGTCCTCGTCTCAACCACTTCTCAGTCCCAAGGGCCCAGCCCACTGCCTGGCACATAGGAGACGCTTAACAAGTGTTTATTAAGTTGTGCTTCTTCTCTTACACAGTATTTTTCAAACTTTTTTGTTAGTGAGACCATTAGGAGAAGAAAGGGAAGGTGAGTCAGTCATCTCTCCCTCATGCCCCTCCCCTCCTAAGAACACATTCTAAAAAAATGCTTTATAATATCATACCAATTATCTCTCTCATGTTTAAATGTCCCTCAAAGTCATACAAGTTTCATTCCCATCTTCAACCTTTAGGGAAAGGGAATAATCACCAAGTGAAAGGGGTTGAAAAAGAAAAGACTTAGACAGTCGACTTCTGAAATGGTTTTGCCTCTCTTCTTTCATTCAACAAATATTTGGTCAGTTCCCACTGTGTACATAGCACAGTCTTAAGAACTGTGGGAAATACACGTTCCTTCCTTGAGTCTGCCTTCAGGGAAAAAGAGAAGTTAAGAGTACAGAAGACGGGGAAAGGAAGAGGGGCAGGCGCCAGGCACCTAGGAGAGACTGACAACGCAAATTTGACTGGTCATGAGAAATGATCCTTTGGGTCCTTGATTTCCATTGAAACAAAGAACCTTTCAATGACATAGCGACTTTCTCACTTCCCCAGTGCCAAAGCAAACTTCTCTTTTGCCAAGTTATACTGTACCTTCAATCCTTTCACAGAGCTTGTGCAGCGAGTGCATAGGGCAGGCCTCGCACAGCTTGATCTGGGTCTTGGCACTCTGCAGGGCCGCCGCCGTACTGAAAGCCTGTTTCAGAGTTAGCATCACCTCATCCACCTACAGGAAGCAACAGAACTCAGGTCTGTACAAGTACATGAGCAAGGTAACACACTGAAATCCCAACAGCAATGTGAGACTTTGTTGATGCTGACTAAATAATGGAATTTTGATGACTACAGAACTCTCTTTTTTTATCCTCACCATAGGACATGCCCGTTGATCATAGAGGGAGAGGGAGGGAGGGAGGGACAGACAAAGAGAGAGAGAGAGAGAGAGAGAAAGAAACATCGAAGTGAGAGATAAACATCTATTGGTTGTCTCTCACACGCGCACCGACTGGGGACTGAACCAGCAACCTAGGTTTTGACCTGACCAGGAATCAAACCTGTGACCTTTCAGTTTACAGGACAATGCTCCAACCAGCTGAGCCACATCGGCCAGGGCATGACTACAGATCTGAGAGAGAAAATACTCTCCTGAAGCTAGATCTTGTGGCCCTGTGGTATAGTTCAGTGGTTTAAGTGCTGGCTTGCAAATCGAAGCTAGATCTTTAATTACACATTTATTTGAAAGTTGGATGAAATAAGACCATCTTTTAAATTTAATCTTTATTGTATTTTTTCCATTACCATTGAGTCCCCATATACTCCCCTCCCCCCTGCAATCGCCACACTGTTTTCCACGTCCATGAGTTCTTTTTCCTTCTTGCTCAATCCCTCCACCCCCTCCCTCCCCTCCTCCACTAGCTCTCCACCTATGCGTCTGTCCCCATTTTCCCTGTTAGTTCAGTGTGTTCATTAGATTCCACATATGAGCAAGATCATATGGTGTTTGTCTTTCTCTGACTGGTTTGAAACAAGACCATTTTAATGTGTGTAATATAATACTAATCTGTTATTGAATGCTATTTTTTGAGTCCCACCAAATGCTATGCTATCCCAGGCGGGTGGATAGTCAATCGGGTCTCTGTTTAGGTATTCAGATAAAGATCTCTTTGGAAGTTACCTGCAGTATATAATGAGCAACAAAGTAGGTTTACTATTCACTGGTGTTGATATGTATCTTATTTACTTTGTCCTCCTGGATCATTTTTTAGTGCAAAAAACCAAAACCTATTTAAGCAGACTTCCGGGGAGGAAACAAGTTCAATTTACACAATGTTAGAGAAGTCTACAAATGTTGCTCATCCTGTCTCTGTGGCCTCTAGTTCATTACCATTTTGCCCCTGACTGGTGACACTAAGAGGTCCTGACATCGTGCTTTCTAACAGCTGGTCTCAGCCCTGGGCCGGCAGCTTGAGAGCGGCCAGCTGCTTCCGAGCGGCCAGTTGCTTCCTTCCTCGCTCTTCCAGGGACCCAGTCAACAAGTGTGAATCCAGCATTCCAGTTTCCCGGCTGCTGGTTGCTTCTTCAGTCCACAGACAGCTCATCCTCAGGCTCTGTTAAACCCACTTCAGGCCGTGTTGCCTTCTCTGGAAGCAAACATCCATGTCGCACGTGGCTTTCCCACATGCTGCACAGCTGAGATCGAATTCTAACACCTGCACGGAGAGCTGTGAAGCACTAAGGGGCTCATCGGAACTACCTTTAATATCCAAAACCATTCACCACTGCTTGTTAACTGTTTCTTTTTTAAAGACTCTTATTCCCCTTTCCCTATGACCTAGTTGAAGAAAGATCTAATAGTTAAAGGATTTACTCTACTTCTGCATTTGAGTGCATGCGGAACCTAGAATAAAAAGAAACTTTATTCTTCTAATATTACTAAAAGGAGAGATCGAACACTAAGTAGCCAGTCATTAGTAGGTTATGTTTTACTATATTACCAACATTTTAAAAGGCTTATGAATAATTTTATATCACTCCATGAATTAAAATGAATTATTCATAAAGTGTGTTCTTTTACACTATAATTAAAAATAAAGATTTCTAGTTCTTGAAAATAAAAGCACTACATTTTTAATCCCTTCCAATTTTGGTTTTATTTGCCTTATTATGTATTCAAAAGCAATTTCAATTACTTATGCAGAGGTTTATTTATTGCTATATTCTTGTTTCTCATTTATTTAGGGCTCAGCTTTCATGTAGATTTGTTGTTTGTTATTTAGTAATACTGCATTGCAAAAAAGCCTCCAATTGAAATAATAAACTTTCCTATTTTCTTTTCTATTTCTAGATGAAACAGAAGGCCTTTTTTTTTTTTAAAGATTTTATTTATTTATTTTTAGAAAGGGAAGGGAGGGAGATAGAGAGAGAGAGAGACATCAATGTGCGGTTGCTAAGGGTTATGGCCTGCAACCCAGGCATGTACCCTGGCTGGGAATCGAACCTGGGACACTTTGGTTCCCAGCCCGCGCTCAATCCACTGAGCTACGCCAGCCAGGGCACCAAAGGCCATTTTAATGTCTGAAATGTGATTACCAATTTCTTCCAGCCATAAATATTACTAAAAAGTTTAGGTGACTTCTGAAATTTTAAGTGTTTTATTTTTTTAATCCACCTATAAGTTCTAATCATGGGATCAGAGCAACTACAAGTTCAAATTAGTGTAATATGAATAACTTAATTGCTTTTATTCAGCTATAAAACAAAAAATGTCATAGGTTGTGTTAAAAGGTTAAAAGTTTAAAAATGGGTGAAGATAAATCAATCATATACAAACACAAAAGAAGTATTCTTAGCATTACCATCAAGCAAAAGCAAATTTCCAATGAAAAGTATGCGATGGGACAAGTAAATCCAATTTAGGTGAAAATCCATTATGAAGACAATGCTCATAAGCATTTATACACTAAATGTAGGTAGGTATTTCATAGCATTATAGCATAAGCCTAAGAATCACAGAGTGTGTAAGGACTGAAAAAGATTACTGAGTCTACATGGATGGAGAGCAGGAGGACAGTTCGTGGTGGGGGAGGTTAGGGGGTGGAGGGATTGAGTGAAAATGAGAAAGGACTCACGGACATAGACAACAGTGTGGTGATTGCTGGGGGCAGGGGGTACAAGGGGACTAAATGATAATGGATAAAATACAATAAAGATTAAGTAAAATACAAAAAAGATTATCAAATCTAATCCTCTGGAAAAAATTAAACCTAAGTCTTGGTAGCCTGGGTCTTTATTTATTTTTTTGTTATACTTGCCCTGGTGAAGTATAACAAATACTTCCCATTACTATGTGTATTTGTGGAGTTTTACCTTTTCCTTTTCTATAAGTAGTAGTAACTTCCATTTTTTTCACACCTCTTAAAGCAATTTTGGAGAAAAGAGAAATGGCATTGTCTCCAAATCTCAAGGATTGGTTAAACAAAATCAACCTGCTTATCTACAGCTATATTTCACAAAAGAAGGAAGGAAGGAGTGCTGAGCATCTAAACTTCCAAAATAACCCTCTGGGGCCCATCAGAGAGCACTATACTGTTTATCAATTCATAGCCATTGCTACAAAGAAGCAAAAAAAAAAAATGCTGATTGTGTATTCTTTGTACTCAGAGAAGTCAGCATGCGTGGTTTTACCATATATTGTCTTACACAACTGCCAAGCCACATCAATCATATAACACTGCATAGACCTATAATATTTGATTGTTTTGCTTTGTTCCATTTGTCAGCTGCTTGAGCCATCCTCTGTTCTGCAGGAAATTCACACCTAATTTTTCTTCTAGCTTGCGGTCCTGACGTCTCCCTATTCAGTTAAGATGCCTTCTGATAAAATTAAACAGGGCTTCAGGGGCTCTAGTGCAGGCCTGTTCTTAAGAACAGCAGTGCCAAAACTGAGATTCTCGTCAAGTTCAGTGTAGGAGGAAGACATTCTCAGCCAGTGTAGTCTGTTGCCCTAGTCACAGAGCGTCTTAAGGTAGAAAAACACAGCATGTTCCCAGACTTTCGACTCTGAATCGCTGTTTCAAAAACTCATTCATTCCACATGCACGAGCGCCCAACAAAAATACTAAAACTACACACAAAACAAAATGTGTAAAAGAGGTTGGAAATAAGAAGGTTTTACAGTGTCTTCCTTTTACTGTAGACAATCCAGGAATGAGAGAGTTAACAGCACCCAGAAAATGATCGCCTGAAGTTAGGAGTAATACCTTCCATCACTCAAAATACCCTTCACAGGCACCCAGCTAGCATCCTAGAAACACTCGCTGGAGCATATGACAAGAATACGAAGGGTCCTAACTCTGTGGGATTCATAACCTCCTGGAGTAGAAAGTTGTGAGCAAATACATAAGTGTGGGGATTTGCAGGAACTGTGAGTGACCTGTGAATAAGGTGTCACAAGAGCTCTGACGACAGAGTGACTACAGAAGTCAATTCCTGAAAACAGGCGTCAGAAAAGCCTTCACTAGAAAGTGATATTTAAGCTGGGTCCCAAAAAGTACCAGGTAGAAAAGAAGAGGAAGTAGACTCAGATTAGGGCAGGGCAAGGCCAAGCCTGCTTCCCATCCAGTGAAGCAGCATGAAAGAGACTGTAAAAATAGATAATGAAGGCACGCACCACCTCCTTGTGTGGTGGCAGGGCAGACGCCTGAGGCCCACCTCGTCTCCATCCCTGCCCCTGCCTGACAGGGAGCCCCAGCCACTCACTGAAACCCTAGCACTCCTGTGTCGCACGCGCAAACCATTCGCTGATTCAGCAGCAAACCAAATGAAAGCACCGTCACAGCAATCATCACACCAGCCTCCGAGGTCCGGCCCAGAGAAGTGTAGCGGACAGAACAGCATGTGTGAGGACACCATCCTGGAAGCGGGGGGCCTTCAGTGGGGACAGAGGAACAATAAGGCAGGCCCTTCTGCCATGCTAGACGATGTAGATTTTGTCCCCTAAAAAAGAGGTCTAAACTGTTTTTGGGGTTTTGGGGTTTTTTTTTTTTAGATTTTATTATTTTTAGAGGGGAAGAGCAAGAGAAAGAGAAGGAGAGAAACATCAATGTGTGGTTGCCTCTTACACACCCCCTACTGGGAAACCTGGCCCTCAACTCAGGAATGTGCCCTGACTGGGAACTGAACCAGTGTGACCCTTTGGTTTGCAGGCCGTCACTCAATCCTCTGAGCCACACCAGCAAGGGCTAAACTGGTTTTTGATGAAGAACTACTGTGAGAAGGAAGACTATAGTGTAATATAGAATGTGGATGGAGGACATCGAACCAGGGGCAGGGAGACTAAGAAGATAAAAGCCCAGAGTCAGGGAGCAGAGAGAAAAAGGAGGTGAGATGGATATAAGGGACATTTCCGTGTTGAGTCAATGGACTTTGGTGAACAGTAAATAGAGAAGGTGAAGAAGAATGCATTGTGGTTTCTAAATTGGGAAGTTAGATGAATGGAGCTGCCAACAAAAAATATGGAATATATGATGGTTTTGCGGAAGGCAGGGGAGCTAAGGCTCCAGAACACGGGGGGAAATCAGTCTTAGCTCGAAGAGGAACCGAGTGGGGAGGCAGTGAGGGGTGAGCCAGGCAGGGGTTGGGGAGGAGCAGGCATGTGCGGCAGGCTACCCTACATTATCAGGCTCTACCTACCTCTTACTTGGTTGGCATTTTCCAGTTTTGTATCATTGGTTCTCTTCAGTGTTCTCGCTCTTCCTTGCCCCTGGCTACTCACCCCCTCCCATGCTTCAACTGTCACTGACATCATAACAACCCTCCATTTCCATCTCCAGTCCTGAACTGAACTGTTACACAGTAGTCATCTAGACATCAACACTTAGATTTCTCACAGGTGTGGTTACTTACCTAGAGCGAGAACAAAACTCAAATGGATCTCTCTTGAGTAAGACACTGTGGATGATAACAATGCTATAATCCCTAGAGGAAAAGGGTGAGATCCAGAAGGCACCCCCCCAGGAAGTATCTTTGTACCAATTCACTCCCATGCCGTCATCATTCCTACACTACATCTCCACACCGAGTCTACAGAAAGCACGAGTTACACAGGACCCGTGCACCAAGGACACAAAGAGAATGCTGCCTGGCTTATTTAAACACATCTAAGTGGCGTGTGGAAGAAATATTTGTGGGAGGATTATCTGTCCAAGGAAATTTTCTTCTTCACGTGTTGCTGTTATATCTGAAGGTTTGTGTTAAAATGGTTAGGAAAGAGAACACAAGTAGAAGAATAAGTAAGAAATTATAGGGAAAATATCAATATACTTTTATTTACTCAGCTGTATTTCCAAGTTTGCCTTACATGTTTCTTTTCAAACTCCAGTAGCCGCCATAAAAGGTGTATGGAACGTGGGGGGTGAGGGGTGGTGAAGACAAGAGTGGTCTTTCCAATTCCAAAGAAAGAAAGTGAAGGCTAAAATAAGGCCATAGAAAAATGAAGTATTTTAAAAATAAAGGCAGGGCTAATGAAATAAAATAAAATCATTTTTTGCCCTGCTGTATAAGCACTATCTATTCTGAGATGTTGCAGCAATTAAGACTAAAGAGTCAGAGGCCTTCCTTATCTTCTTACACAAGCAACAGAAAAAGTCACAGCTCTCCTCCTATTATTAGACTTGTCCTTGCCTCCTAGTAAGATGACTGGATTTACTAAGCTCAAGAAAGTATCTTGACTTAAAAATTACCATGACTTTTTTTTTAAATTTTATGTATTGATTTTAGAGAGAGAAAAGGAGAGTAAAGGAGAGGGAAAGAGACATAGAAACATCGATTTGTTGTTCCACTTATTCACACATTGTTGGTTGCCCCTCGTACGAGCCCTGACCAGGGAGCAAACGCACAGCCTTGGCGTATCGGGTCAGCGCTCCATCCAGCTGGCCCCTGGCCAGGGCCCACCATGACAAATTCTGTTTTTCCTACTGCTGTGCTGCTCTAAAGAGCAGAAACCTATTTCTGGCTGTCCCCTCCTTTTTCCGGTAATGGCTGCTCTGGGAGGCTTGGCTCAGAAAAGACGTGTATGGCCCATTAGCCGGCCACCTGGGCAGGAGCGATCGCACCACTTACCAGAGACTCGCTGGCACACTGGAACACATAGCAGATATACTGGCTCAGCCCGGGCTCTGCTGACTCCCGGCAGATAAAGCCGAAGTGATCGACGTGCTTTATACCCTGGAGCAGGGAGAGAAGGGGGTGTTCATGGGAATATGTCCTTTTGAAACAACACCATGGAAATCAACATCAGTTCTATACTGTCACACTTCTGCAAATCTCCCTACAGCGCTGTGATCAGGGATGTAATGTCATAACAAATTCATACGGTGGACTTTTGATACATAAAGTAAAGGACGCGAACAAAAACTTATTTTTTTTTCAGACAAGCACTATTTACTCAGGGCCACAGGAAAAAAAATATGATGGCATGATCCACAGTCTCTTGTAATAAAAGTGCTTCTCAGTGTTTGCAAGTAATGGAATTTACAATTTATTGGTCTTCTTAGAACAGGCAGTCTGGTGATTCATCATAAACCCTGCTCTTGTCTATACGAGGCTGAAAATCAAAAAAACTACATCTAACAATGCTCCAATGAAATGATGGCGTTCCCAAAAGTGTACATGAAAAATACAAGAATATTTGTCTCCTTACAGACATTAAAGAGCCACACCAGCTAGAAGACAATACATTAAAGAAATTGTTGCAGGTGTCAGTTATCCAAATCCACCAATCACCATACTTCCTGAATGCAGGCTAAAGAACCTCAGCTACACTTAATAAAAAATTCTGAATCATTTGTGAATCTCAATCAGCCTGAATACATTCATAAACAATTAGTAGACAGTACCCTGTTATCTTAATAGCAAGCCCAGGACTTTGAAAAGCCAGTTAGGCAATAATTTATCGTTGCTGTGCAGTCAGCCTAAACCCCAATGAAAAAATCTTTAAAAAAAGGGCTTTGGAGGCACACAGATCGGAGCTTCAGTCTCAGTTCGACCACCTGCTCAGTACGAGGCATCACGCTGGGCTGCTAGTACTTACCTATGAGGCCCCATTTCTCCTGACTGTAAGAAATTTTTGTGATTGGGAACTAAGAAATATCTATCATCGTTCCTGGCACATTTGATAAATGGTAACCACTATTCTTGTAATAATAAGCTCAAGGTGTCCAACAGACAGGAAAAAGGAAATCAACTCTGATAAAAAGGAAAAAGTCAATAAAGAGGAGTGAGGTGACAATTCATGAGGTAAAAGTCGGCTCCATCTGGTACAGCTCTTTAGTGATTGAAGAATATCTTTTACTAGCTTAGTACTAAAGGGGGAACATTCATAGGACCTCATTAGCTCAGGGAGTCTTTGAGCAGTGGCCCTGCTTCCAGTAAAGAAAACCACTGTCTTATTCCTCACACTTGCCAGGGACACGGCCCCACAGATTCTGAAGAAGGGAACATTAGCAGGTGTGCATGTGTTGAAAAGCAAGCCTATTCCTGAAATGTGGCTGCACTGCACCAGTTCAATTCCTGAATGTGGCCACACTGTACCAGTTAAGTGCTGTGGAAGGGAGCAGTAAGGAGCAGGGCCACTCAGCGAGGAGCAGAAGTTAACTGGACAATTATTTCTTTCAAGGACTTTCCACAAATTCCTGTTATATTTTCGTTCAATTCTTTTTCAGGTCTAGAATGTCAGAATAGAAAGCTTACTTAAAAAAGAAAGGAAAATCACATTTGAACTGCCTGTTTTACACATTTGGTTTGGCTGGTTCTTTTTGTTTTGGTTTTCCCACCCCCCTTTATCTATTTTCCCCCCTGGGTGTTCAATGAGCATTGCCATTTTTCTCACTGAAAGGCTTGGGGACTGTGGGGGTGAGAGGCACTTTTTTAGGATGCTTCCCTGTGCTCTGGGGCAGGGGGCAGTCACTCCACTGGTTCATATGCCACCCTCTCCCCAGTACTTGACACAAGGACCTACATATGGAAATATCCACTCCACACTATGGAATACCTAAGTGTGAAGATCTGTCTTAACGAATCTTATTCTGATGCTCTACAGAACACGACAGATACCACAGACTAAGCTACCTGCCCTCACAGAGCTTTTGACCTTGCAGGGACTCCCAGTAAACAGATAATTATGACAATGCTATTTAAATACTTTTTCTGTGAAAGTGGATAATCATTCTACCCAATTTTTCACCCTTTAAATAGGAAATTAGCAATTTGCGATATATTCTTCCTATAGAGAGATGCTGCCTCTTTTCATTACTAGAGTAGAACATTTTTACCTTTACAACATAATTTTATGTCTCCACATAACAGAACAAAATGAAGCACCATTAGCTGAGGCTGAGGTGAATAATCAACAAGTCATATAAAAACTTGTCATTTTCTTTTCTTTAAAGATTTTATTTATTTATTTTTAGAGAAGGAGGAGAGGGAGAAAGAGAGAGAGAGAAACATCAACGTGCGGTTGCTGGGGGCCGTGGCCTGCAACCCAGGCATGTGCCCTGACTGGGAATCGAACCTGTGACACTTTGGTTCGCAGCCCGCGCTCAATCCACTGAGCTATGCCAGCCAGGGCAAAACCTGTCATTTTCAAAAGGGAAGATGTCTGAATATCATATCTATGGTACCACTAACTCCAAATTAAAACAACAAAAAAAGACAGTCTTGACGTTCCAACACTGAACTGTAGGAAGGGATCCTGGTGAGACCCAGTTCCCTGTAGGTACAGCTAAGTCACCTTGCTAGAACAGAAGTTAGTCCTTCTCTGTTCCCGTGACTTCCTCAGAGGAAGCGTTGCATTTTTAAAACCTGCCCATATTTAGATTTAGAGGCTCCCTCTACTCCAACATCTTCCATTTTTTTCTATTTCTACAATATATTTAGGTAGTTTTACCTTTGGCATATTCTAAATTATTAGTATGGTACTTAGGACACTGGTCAGTGCCTAATATGACCTTATACACATTTAGCTGTGCCACTTATTCAAACGACTTTCAAATATACAGTGCGTGAATTAAAAACAAATAAAAGAACATGAACATTCCAAAGCCTAGTTTTCAAAATTTAGCGTTTACATCAATAGAACTTGAAAGTGCTGGTTCTCCTTTCACTGCCTGGTTACCGAGTACAGAACAAACATGACTCAGTGATGCCCACAAGTCCCACTGCCCGAGATTTGGAGAAACACTGTCTGTGAAGGCCTTTTCAGGAGAACTCGTCACCACAAAAACTCCATCGGTGGAAGGAGTTTCACGAAGTGACGCTATGAAAAGAAAGGGCTGAGGAAAATGAGGCCAACTGTTAGGACAGGAGGAACCTGGGCAGGACTTCGCTACTGAGAAAGACACAAACACATCAACGCACTTGGCTAAGGACATATCCACTTGAACGATTACAACTAAAAAGAATATTCCAATCGAAGGTGTGAAAGCCCAGTTACTTTGTGGTTAATTTAGAAACAACATTTAGCTGGTTTCCTCATAACTGTGCTCTACTTCAATACATACCTGTGAACAAGAAGAGATATCTTTAAAATTCTTTTCAAGCACAACTGATTTAGTGTCTGGACTGATAAGGTTAACCTCAAACCGTCCGACCTTAAAAATAAAAATCAATAAATCCCAGTTAATTTCAATTCACAAGGACCTGACATCTTACTTTACAATTAAATATTCAACTAATAGTATAGATTGCAATGCCATATCCAGATATGCATAATGCACGTGTGCTGCATCACCCAATCCAACCAATATTTCAACTCCAGATAGCAGCTGCCTCATACTGCTTCCTTTTGTCTAAAAAAATCATAAAAATTATGTTGATCTTCATTTACAAGATACAAGAAACTTTTTTCAGATTAAAAGTGATTCTCTTTCCAAAAAAAATGCAACCTTTCCTTACTTTGTGATTTCTAAAACTACCAATTATTTCATTTTAATTTATAATCATACTTTCTCCCAAATGGTCAGTAAAAAGGTATACAGGGGCAGGCAAAAGTAGGTTAAATTACCAGCCATCAGTACCTAAAGGATAAATCATAAGGAAGAGTACAAAATAATAGCATGAAGAGGACAAATAGGACAAAAAATACAATAATTAATCAATAATAATATAAGAATAAACTTGTATTTCCTATACTCACAACTCTGAACCTACTTTTGCTCACCCCTGTATTTGCCATCAGGCAGATAATTTTTTTTAAATTTTAAGTAAACCACCATTCAGAAAAATGAACAAACAGCAAGGACTGTGGCTTGTTCAGAAAAAGAGTAAATCTGGGGGCCCAAAGAAGGGGGCCCAAAGACAAGATGATAGACATTTTATATGCCTAGAGTTATTTAAAAAAAAATCTAAAGAACTCATGAACTTCTGATAAAGCAAATATTACACACAGGGACTGTTTACCAAGGTGTGGAATTTCCTTCTCCTGAGTTTTTTACAACAGGATAAAAGGGCAGTCCTTCTTCCAGCACCGCCCCACCCCGCCCCCAACAAAACTCCAGTTTTACAAACTCAGGATTAGAGAAACTCGACATACAGCACTTTGTAACAAATTAAGCTCTTTAAAGTGGAACTTATTTTCTATACCCTGCACAACTTCAAAAACTTTTTACACTTAAGACATTTTACACCTAGAATAAATATAGCTTGCACCAAATGAGTTTAATCCCCAACCCAGTCAATTATCAGGCCTATAGTAGTTCTTTAACATTCTCTTGTGTGTGCAATCTCAGCTGAAAATAAACCTGTGAGCCTCTGAACTTTTTTCCTCTAAAATCTTTCTCTCTCCTCCGCGCCTAATCACACTCCCCAGTTGCATCTTTACATCCTCTATAAAACTGGCTTCCTGCAGTTGTTTAAAAACCAGCAACCACACTTACTGAAGAACCACCTAAGGCAAACTGCTGGTGATATTAAAAGTCGTCTATTATAAAGTCGTGATATTATAAATCGTCTCTTCTTACTCCTTCCACCAGCTTTCCAGGAGGCTCCTTCAATCGCTTCTCTCCATCTCTCCCCGCCCTGCCCCCTCATTTCTTACAATCCACATTCCACCTCTGCCTTTCTTTCCACCCCTCTCCCCTTTCCTCTGCTCCTCCTCCTCCCGCCTGATCTGCTTCCCAAGGGGTGAGAATTAAAGCTGGGTAACTGCAGAGCGAGGAAATGGGAGGAGCCGGGCGCCGGGCTGCTCCGCTCTGGCAGCGCACAGTGAACGGCCCAGGGCAGCGTGCCAGGGCAGCACCTGAAACAGCATGGTCCTGTTCTTCTCCGAGTCCGAGGGCTGTACGTGACTGGGCGCGCTGGCGTGTCTCCTTCGCAGCTGTGGTTTTTGGCTGTTCTCATGGACTTTCCTTTGCAGGACTCCGGTGACGCTGCTGCACCGAGACCGGAACTCCTGCTGTTCATCAAAGCCAGAATCTTCCAAAATCCGCTCAGGAAAGCAAGATCGGGAGCTGGACAACGCCGGCTGGCTGGCCACGTTTGGTAAGGCAGGGTGGGTGTTGGTGTCGCCATCCTCTTCCTCCAACAGAATGTCTGAGGGTGAACTGGGCCCCTCGACTTCGAAGATGACTCGGTCATTGCCGGCCTCGGGCCCACGCTGCTCGCCCTGGATCTTCAGGCGCTGCTGCTCGTGCAGGCTGAACTTTTCAATGCAGTCGTCAATGAGGCTGGACGGCGCATTCTTGTGGGCCACGGTCACCTTGCCGCAGTACAGGACCTCGAACTTCTGCGAGTTGTAGAAGGCGTCCTCCGCGTCTTTGCTGGGCTTGGCATCCTCCTGCATGGCAGCTTTAGACAACTGCCTTATGCTGCTGATCACCTCAGGAACCTAAAGAAAATAATTAAACACACTTATTTCGGTTGACTCTTTAGAAATAGCGTATGTTGACCCAGACCTGTTATTATCACACAGAATGCATTCTCCTACTAAATGATAAAATATGAAAAGTAACCGTGAGACCTTACATAAGGGAAAACAAATTTCGATTGTACTCTCAGACAAAAATGCCTTAAAAGATGGACATTTAATGATATCAGTATTATACATTCCCATTCTAAATGTATTCATTTCCCAGGAACAAAACCATGAGATAATACAGGCCACTGCTAACCTTTAATAAATCAGAGTATATCCTTTGAGTACTTTCAAAAGTTATTATGAAGGGCATCAAAAGTCAAAATGAAGGGGAAAAGATAAAATTTTTAAAAGTGCAATGACTGAAAATCATTCATTCATTCATTCATTCACTGAATGAATGAATGAATGAATGAATAAGTGTTATTATGAGTCTCAGCTGAAAGGAACAAAAGTTTCAACAAAGAACATGAAATAAACTTCCTGGAGGGATAGATTAAAATCCAGACACCCTTTATCAGCATTAGCCATCAGGGAAAAAACAACTTAAAACCATAGTAAAATAACACAGCTACACATCTGTTAGAGTGGCTACCATCGAAAAGGCCAAGAGCCCACTGGGACGTGGAGCAACCGGAACTTGCATACACTGCATTCAGAAATGTTCAACGGCACACACCCTGCAGAAAACTGCTCAGCACTTTCTCAGGACTTAAACACAGGCTTAACTCAGGATCCAACCATGGCACTGCTAAGACTTAGCCGAAGCCCGAAAACATAAGCCCATGCAAAAGCTTGTGTACAAATATTCACAGAAGCCTTGGTCAAAAGAACCCCAAACTGGAAACAGCCCAAATGTTCATTAACAGGTAATACTCCCTAATCATCAGGGAAATGCAAATCAAAACCACAATGAGACATCACCTCACACCTGTTAGAATGATATCATCAAAATACAAGCAGGTAAGTGTTAGTGAGGACATGTAGAACAAGGGAACCCTTGTGCGCTGTTGGTGGGAATGTAAATTGGTACAGCCACTATGGGAAACAGTATGGAGGTTCCTCAAAATATTAAACATAGAACTACCACAGGACCCAGTGATTCTATTTCTGGGTATAAGCACAAAGGAAACAGAATCACTACCTTGAAAAGCTGTCTGCACCCCTGAGTTCACTGCAGCATGATTCACAGTAGCCAAAATTCGGAAACAACCCAAGTGCCCATCAGTAAATAAGCAGATAAAGAAGATGGGAAATGCGTGTGCACATAAATACACCGGAATATTATGTAGCCATTAAAAAGGAAATCCTGCCATTAGGGACAACATGCATGAACCCTGAGGGCATTTTGCTGAGTACGTCAGACAAAGAAAGATAAATACTATATGGTCTCACTTATACGTGGAATCTAAAAATAAAAATTTAAAAAACAGGTTCATAGAAACAGTGGAGGGAATGGGTGAAGGGGTCAAAGGTACAAACTTCTAGTTATAAGGTAAGTTCTGGGGATGTAATATGCTTATTACTAGACTTATTGTGGTAATCATTTCACAATGCATCCATGTATCAAATTATTATGTTGTATACCTTAAACTAATACAATGTTATATGTCAATTATATCTCAACTTTACTGAAGAAAAGAGTGAATGGATAAACAAAATGTGGTACATCCACACAATGGAATACTACTCATCATCTCTCATCTGGTTTGCAGCAATAACCTTGTAACTGGTATTCCTTGCCCCCTTCAATCTATTCTCAAACATCAAAAGGATCCTTTTTAAACTTCTGACGTTACTCACCTGCAAATCCTCCAAGCTCCCCATTTCATAAAGGGTGAAAGACAAGCTCCTTACAATGTCCTACAGGGCCCTTGCCATCTGCATGACATACACGTCGATTAAATGTGCACTGTGGCTACGCATCCTCCATGTTATCTTTAGAGAGCCAACCTGGGTTTCCACCTTTCCATCCCTCCCTCATTAGCTCTGACCTTACTCCTAAGTAACACTCCCTCTCACTCACTCTGCTGCAGCCACCCCAGTCTCCTAGTTTTTCTCTGAACACACAGGCACACTCCTCTCTCAGGGTCTCTGACCTCCATGCTCCTCCCCCACATAACTGCAAGGCTCACTCCCTCCCCTCATTTAAGTCCATGCGCTAGTATCACCTGTGAGGTAGCATCCATTCTCCCCCCAAGCCAACACACACACACACACACACACACACACACACACACACGGCCAGCATTGCCCTGGACTTTTTCCCTACTTCAGTACTCTGTATAGCACTTACCAATAGCATTCTGTATAATTTATTTGCTAAAATGTAAGCTCTAGGAGACTGGTAATTTCTGTCTCTTTTTTTCCTTCCTCCCTTTTTTTCATTTTTTCCTTGTTGAATGCTCAGAGCCTGGAATAATTCATGGTACAGAGTAGACCCTCAATATGTGTATTGGCATAAAAAACTGTTTTGGTAATTTTTATCTTTGGAAAAAGAGGAGAGCATCTTATCTACAGTGTTGTTTCACAGTCAGACATCTACAGTGCATCTTTGAATGTTCTAGCACCAATTCTAAATCTAGAATTTCTTTTTCACGTGATTATTTGGGATACATTGTCAGAGGATTCACAATTTAAAAACCACAAAAGAAGCCCTGGCTGGCATAGCTCAGTGGATTAAGCGTGGGCTGAGAACCAAAGCATCGCAGGTTCGATTCCCAGTCAGGGCACATGCCTGGGTTGCAGGCCACGGCCCCCAGCAACTGCACATTGATGTTTCTCTCTCTCCCTCTCCCTCTCCCTCTCCCTCTCCCTCTCCCTCTCCCTCTCTCTCTCTCTCTCTCTCTCTCTCCCTCCCTCCCTTCCCTCTCTAAAAATAAATAAATAAAATCTTTTAAAAAATAAAATAGTGATTTAATTTTTAAAAACTTAAAAAAATAAAACCACAAAAATTTCAGCTGGCTGTGGTGTTTCCTGTGACTCACCCTGAACACCTGACATGACTCAGAAAAAAAGTCAGGTGTTTTGTACTAAAGCATGACAGTCACCCTTAGTGCTGTGACAGTTTCCTTTTTATTGTTATTATTTTTTCATGATAGAGAGAGAAGAAGGGAGAGACACAGAAACATTGCTCTCTGACATTTTCTTTCTTTTTCATTCTGGAGAGAAGGGAGGTGGGGGAGAGAGAGAGAGATCAATACAAGAGGAACATCGATCAGTTGCCAACCACAGGCTCCCCAGCTGGGGACTGAGCCCGCAATCCAGGCATGTGCCCTGACTGGGAATAGAACCTGTGACCTTTTGGTTTAGGGCACTACCCTCCAGCCAACCAAGCCACACCAGAAAGGGTTCTGATGTTTTCTTTTTACTTTTGTACCTGACAAGGTTCAAAGCTGTGGAGAGGGAGCTAGCTGACATTAAACCCTGCTGAAGGTAAGATGATTCTAGTGCACTGGGCAAAGCTCTAAGATAGAATGATCCCTTCTCCCTCAAAAACATATTTTTACTAAATACTTTCCATCTGATTTTGCAACCCAAATGCTCCTAAATTTCCAAACATGTCTCTATAAAAGTATGGAATCAGAAATATTATAGGTAGGATATTTTGGGACCTGAAAAATTTTTATCTTTTTACAAATATTTAAATTATTTTGGTGGGGTATTAAAGTTATATTGTATCCCACCATTGAAACTGCAAATAAAGTCAGTTCCACCTCAGCTGTGGAACAAGCATCAATTACTCCATATTGATGCTTGTACATTTTTTCTTCCATTATATTGAGAGCTCTTACATGAAAGAGTGGTTAGTTGTGGGATTTCTGTACTCTCACAGGACAATCCCTGTGACCATGGGTAAAAGCCCAACACCTAAATGTATTGAGTAATTCAGTTAATGATCCAGCTTATATTGGGCTGGTCAAAAATGTCATTTGTTTTTTCCTGTAAGATGGCTCTAATAGTGCTTAGTTGTCTTTAACTTCACTCGAAACAATTTTGTTAGATTGTATTGTGACAACTTTCAGTGTGCATTTAAAAAAACTTATCAAAATTGGTCAATTTTTATGCAACCATTTTAATATTGAAGATGGGAAAAAATATACATTTTCAGTGTATTATGCTTTATTATTTCATGAAAGGTAAAAATGCAACTGAAATGCAAAAAAAAAAAGGATTTGTGCAGTGTATGGAGAAGGTGCTGTGACTGATTGAAAGTGTCAAAAGTGGTTTGCGACGTTTCATGCTGGAGATTCCTTACTGGATGATGCTCCATGGTCTAGTGGACCAGTTAAAGTTGATAGCAATCAAATGGAGACATTAATTGAGAGCAATCAACAGGCATATTGGTCAGCGGTTGCTGACCGCTGTCAGCAAACAGGCATATAAATAGTGGTGAACAACTACCCAGAACCCTGACACAAGTTCTCTGGGAGCGAGAGAGGTTTATTAAATTCCTATTGATAATTCAAGACACCTGGCAGTTCCCAAAACCGAAAGCACGACTTTCCACACTGCTCAGTGCTTACCCCAACTGGGAAGCCAATGCGTGTGCCAGGATCATCTCCAGATGCCATGGAGCACCTCGAGCTGCACACTCGTGCTTCAAGCTCTGGTTACCCGCACTCTGGATACGAAAAACGCCGTGGCTCAGAATCTGCCTGCATCCCACAGAGCCCGATGAGGACTTAATGCCAACTCAAGGCAAGATTTTTATTCTGTGGCAGCACATAATCTTTAACATCAAACAATAATAATGACAAAAAACTCTACCAAAGTAGAGATTGAGAAAGGTTTGAGTTCTATCCCTAGCTCAGGCAGAAATTTTTGCTATTCTGCTTCCTGCAGTTTCCTCTCCGGGAAAGGTAAGGGGACAGATAACATAGCCAATTAAGGTCTAGATCCAAATTTCTGTGGGTTCATTTCTGTCACAATGTCACTAAAGGAGATGGAAAATTACCTCTATGGTTAAGTTA